CGTGAACAAGAACACCGAATCTATGTACATGCACATGCACAAATCATGAACGTGAACAATAGCCATGTATATAAACATGTATCTTGACAGTACCAAATAAACATACATGCATTATATAATTAGTTAATAATTAGTTAAACACTCGTAATTAATCATGAACGTGTACAAGATAAACATACATGAATTATATAATTAGTTAACTACTCGTAATCAACGATTTTTATMCGTTATATTAAAATGCACCATGGTGAGTGAAATATCATAGAAAATAATATGAGATGAACAAAAAAAAACACAACACATCATAAGTGAACGTACTATCGATCAATATAAATGTAAAAAAATTAAAAAAATCTATTACCAAGACATTCGGTTTGGTTGATTTCATGATTTTCCAACCTCGAACTCGGGTTGTCTTCATAAACCATTGCAATCTCCGCGGTGTTGTTGATTTCTTTTCCTTTACGTGAACAAGATATAAAAATAAATGCATTTTTATAATTCGTTGACCCCTCGTAGTTAACGATTTTTATACGTGAGATGAAAATGCACCATTGTGATAGAAATATCATAGAAATAATATGAGATTAACAATAAAAAACACAACACATCGTAATGAACGTACTTTCGATCAATATGAATCTAAAAAWAWTAAAAATCTATTACCAAGACATTCGGTTTGGTTGATTTCATGATTTCCCGACCTCGAACTCGGATTGTCTTCATAAACCATTGTAATCTCCGCAGTGTTGTTGATTTCTTTGCCTTTACGTGAACAAGATATAAACATAAATGCATTTTATAATTAGTTGACCACTCGTATTTAACGATTTTTATACGTGAGATGAAAATGCACCATGGTGATAGAATATCATATAAATAATATGAGATGAACAATAAAAAACACAACACATCGTACTGAACGTACTTTCGATCAATATGAATCTAAAAGAAATAAAAATCTATTACCAAGATATTCGGTTTGGTTGATTTCATGATTTCCCGACCTCGAACTCGGATTGTCTTCAAAAACCATTGTAATCTCCGCGATGTTGTCGATTTCTTTTCCTTTACGTTTATCCATATTAGCTTGATCGACGCCGAATATCATTACTACCGTGTTTCTTATGTGATTTGAAACTCATACAGTGATGAACATATAAGGTGAATACTAAATAGAAAGATATTACTTAAATGAATGATTATTTTTTGGGATATGATTTTTTGTAACCTCATACAATAATGAACATGGATGATGAATACTAACAAGATATTAACTAAATTAATGATTATTTTTTGGGATGTGATTTCTTGTAACCCCCCATTAATTGTTTGGGGGTTACATATGTAACCAAATTACTAAAATACCCTTGGAAATAAAAAGTTAACAAGACATCAACCTACAATAATGAATGAATTTGATTGGTTGAGAGGGGTTTCAAAGTTAACACAAAAATGTTGGTTAACATTTGATCTTCCCTCTATATATATATATATATATATATATATATATATATATTAGAATTAAATATCACCAACACCAATGTGCATGCTCATATTTTTTAAACACAACCAACAAAAAAAATACATTACATAGAAGGCAAATGATTTATTAAAACAAGGACGATATATATTTACTTTTGAGTGTCACACCTTTGGCCATACTCATCAATCACCATAGCTAGCTGTTGTCCATAACTCGTGATCGACTCACATATCTGAATGAAGTAGCGCCTCTGACCAATCAAGATTTATGCTAACAACCTCATTCTCGTATAAGCGCTTCTTTAATGAGATCCCAAATGATTGGCTAATGAATGCCAATGGGATTGTTATGTTTTCCAAGTAATTTACTGGTGCACCTTCGTCTTCAGGAAAATCCATGGTGAACAAGGACTCATGCCGGTCATCTGCAACCAGAATCGCTACAGCCCCCGCGTTTTGTGCATTCAATGCCTTCAACGTAAAGTAACAATCTGCCAAATCCATATTATATACAACGATATCAATGACACGCTTATACGAACACCATGTTCACTGAATCACTTAGTTGTTCGTTGAAATTCTAGTTTAATACAACAAGATTGGGTTTATAAGACGCCAAAATTGATCCCTCTTCAGTTGCAGTTGCAGTTGCAGTTGCAGTTGCAGCAAAACGTATAAATGAAGCTTGTTGAACGACGGTCATACTTTCGCAAATGAAAAACGATATAAATACATCATAAAATCAAGAAGCAAAGTATGATTAATTACCACCACGATCGGCAAGAAGAAAAGCAGGATTGCTACCACCGCTTGTCTTGGTTGTCCACGAGAAATCATCGATGAAGCTCTTGCAAGCCTTCTGGTTAACCTTTGGATAAACTACGTCGCCACTTAGTGGTCCTTCACATCGAGGAAAACTCGAGCTATCGATTGCATATTCGTATGTAGCTTTTAAATTCTTAGGTGAAATCACCTCCAAACTGTTGTTCACTACCACAAATCTACAAAAACAAGATCCCAACATAAACAAAAACCAAACACAAATCACAAACCCCATCTTGAATCCATTCATTTTCTTTCCTTTTATCAAGATAAGATTTTGGCACAAGAAAATAGAATTCAAATCCAAATTTGCCAAAAGAATTGACCAAAATGAATGAGAGAGAAAGGGGGTATATCATGAGGAGGAAGATGACTAAACCCTACGTGGCTTATAATAAAAAATATTAGAGTAAATTAGGGATTTGGTCCCTTTGGTTTGTAATTTGTGACGAATTTGGTTCTTTATCTTTATTTATTACATGGTAAACCTCCATCTATACAAATTGTTGTTAATATTCGGTCTTCACATCCACATTTCTTTTCTTTCCGTTCATTAAACACTTGAAAACCTCCTCCCATTCTCTACTTGAGAACCCTGTTCAATTCACTGCATCATCCCCCCAATCTCCTCGTGGTGCATTCTACACCACCATCTCCGACGACATTCAGATCTGGATCGACCCTGAAATGCCTTATTTCTCTGCTCTGTCTCTCAATTCCTTACAAGACCCACACTAGTTATGCAACTTCGATGGGTATTTTCTACCACACCACTAGTAGCCCGATCGAGGTGCATTTCTGTTGAAAACCTCCCCCACACATTACACATACCATCTACAAGGATATAATGGCATGTGTCATTGTTGGATTTTAATGTCACACTAGAGTGCGATGGAGGGATTTGGTCAAAACAATTCGAGAAGCTATAGTTTAGTTTAGTAGAATGTTATTTGTTTCTATGGTTATGGAAGTATGCTTCATGATCTTTTTCTTATTTTGTTTCTATGTTATGGAAGTTGATGAATCAAATCCAAGACAAATTGTAGAGCTAGCGATTTATCTTGTAAAATGAAAAAGGGTAATAATTTACTCAAATCTTTATTTTATGTGTCACAAAAAGTTAAAAATTGTATTTTAGGGTGGATGTTTGATTTGTGGATGATTAAGTAAAATGAAAGTATACGACAAATATGAAGCAAAAAATGGTTTTCTTTTATTCATTAATTAATAAACATCAACTACTTGTATATATATATATATATATACATAGACTTGAGATCATGTGAGACCAAAAGTTTTTCATGAGTCTCGTAAAACCAATTCTCAACCCGTGGGTTAGATTTACAATCTGAACATTCATAATCACAAAATTGCTATTGTGCAACTTCAGACCATTAGATCATTAGCTTATAAAGTTAATCAATAAACATAAATTGGTCTTACGGGTCTCACGAAAAACCATTGGTCTCACGTGAACCCA